ATAGAAAAGTGTTATACATGCAAGGACCTTCCAAGAAATAATTATTGTAAAGTTTTGAACTTTTGTTTGCTTAACCCTTAGCAGCTACAACTAGTTTTGTTACACAGACCAACCCCTTCACCGAAATTCTATCTGTTCTAATCCTCGCCTGGGGTTGGAAGACTGTCATGTCCCTACAAAACTTGTTGTCAAGTTGAAAGTGTACTCACTGCGGCCTGCGCAGTTACATGGGTGCAACCAACAATTTTGGCCCCTTCTAACGGCTTGTCTGTGCAATTCCGCTTTCTCAATAGCATGAGCCCAGGCATTTCTACAAAGAAAATGAACCAAAGAAAGGTAAATATAGAACACTTATCAGCACAGTCAGTCTATTCATTTCTTCTATCCTGTAAATTACAGACGTCATACCCATTGCAAAAGCAATGATTAGAGTGTATTATAAGTTACTGGAATGAGATACGTACTGGGTACAAGGTATAAAATGTTAAGGTACTGTACATGTATTTACCATTTGCATGGAATTTCACTGTGTTACATGTATTAATATTTCATTTTTTTGATTGAAATATAATTTTCTGGTACACTGTACATGTATGACAATGTGGTCAAAACATAAAATCATAAAATCCTACGGTTTCCAGCGATGCTACGGTTCATTATATTTAACCATACCATTTCACAATTGAAAACTTCATTATTAAATAAATTTCTAGGCTTCAGATCATGTTCGAAGACTCTTAAAAATCATTGTTATTCTAGAAGTCCCATGCAAATAGCAGACCAAGTTTAAATTATGTATGGCAAAATATAACATCCCAAATCAATAGGCCAAAGTAAAGAATACAATGCACACATCACTAGTGAACAATGCAAAATGGACTTGCAACATTCCAACATTATTCTTACTATCATTATGTGGTAAACAGGTGTACAGCATTCTTTTGCCTTGGCCAAAAGTACTTCATTACATTTTTATTTTGAAAAATTCCTCTCAAATACAACCTTGTACATGTAAGGTGTTATAATGACTTACACCCTGTGAACAGACGTTCTCGGTTAATTTACGGTTTCGTAGAAAAAGAGTCAGATTGACTCACCAAAGCAAACAACTGCTAACTATAATCATTGTAAAGGCAAAGAACAATAAGACATTGCTCTGTGAATATTTCCAAACAATTCATTATCAAAAACTATTTTTTTGTCTTGCTGATTTGTTCTTGAAAAGTAGTGCACAGCTCAAAAATCAACTGAGTGATTGAATAAAAAAGCTGCTTTTGATTGATTAAAAAATAAATACAATAAAAAAGAACGCTGTTCACAGGATAGCTAATGCTGATCAATACAGAAAGGTACCCATACATGAATTCTGAATCAAGAAAATAATAGTAGGTGGAAAATCAAAAGCAATTAGACATCAGGAACATCAAATGATAGGTTCACCACAATTCAAGTTCTCTGTTAAGAAACAACTGTTGTTAATTTGTTAAGGAGATATCACTGAGTCCCTCAAAGACAATACAAAGTTCCGCTTGCCTTGTTCCGCTATTTCAATTTCCCTGCGACCAAAGTCAGCCAGCTTAATATTCTTAACACAAAAATCTGATCCACCACTGCTGTTTTTCTGCACATAGAAAATGGATGTATTACACTCTGTTTTAACACTAATGATTAGGATGCTCTTGACATACAATTAAATGGAGTTAAAAGAATGAAGTGGTCTCCAGCACAAGTTTTTACAGCAAGCAAGAAGTTAACAAACAGATACCAAGAAAGAAAAGTAAAATATACTGTTGGTATGTGACTTGGATTTTAAACAATTTTAAATGAAAAGATTAAAAAAAAGGTATGTGTAGAAATGTTGCAAATGGTTAGACTAGCATACTTATTTAGCACTGAAACAAGGAAGCACAGAAACAGCTCATAAATAAACAAATGTAGAAGAGCCTTATTCAAAAGACGGATTATTGATCAGAAACATAACTAGATTCTTGACAAATGTAATAATCAGCCTATATGCTTTTTCTTCGTAAAATTTTGAGGACACCACTTCCATTCCACTACATACCAACATCATCGGACAGCTCAGTTTCACTATTTCCAGGAAATTGCCATACCCACCTCAGCAAAGGTCAGTGGAAATACCAGACAGGAAGGAGGTTTCAAAAGCCATTGAAGCTTTTAACCCCTTGAGTGCCAGACCATCGTGTATGCTACATGCCACACCATTTTTACTGAAAATGGGTGTCTAGTAAAAAAACTTTGAATGCCATAAGCTTTTCTCACTTAAACTACAGATAATTTATCTGAAAGGTCGTAAAATTTTATCTTCAATGTGGTTAATTTTACTGAGGTTGACGTAATTTGATATCCATAATGACGTCACAGCAATCGGAAATTAGACGACTCTTGAAAAACCTCCCATAAATCAGGTGCTGATAAAAGTTGCTTCCGGTGTGCCCGGAGTTTGACTTAATCTCTTAAAATTTTGACCTGAAGAGCAAACATCACAACATACTGAGTACATCATATAGGCACTCAAGGGGTTAAAGGAAGGAATGAAAGTAAACAAGAATTTCCAGTGGGGTGGAGGAGAGGGGTTCAAACCAGAAAACCTGCTGGGAGAGGGTTGTGGACATTTCCTGGAACAACAAATTATTGTTCAATGAGGTGCAAACAAGTTATAAGGCATTCTGGCATCTTACATTGTTTAATTCCTTGATTTCATTTATAGGATTTAACAACAACCTGTCATATTTTAGTATAGATTTAGCCTACACTCAAGGCATACACCTGAATAAAGTGTGGTATTTCAAGTTATTTATGTGAGTAATGACAGTGCTAACTTAACTGTAATTTTAAAAAGAGAAAGCACTCTACTGCAAAGATATTAAGCTGTAGTCAAACCTTACAAAACTAGTTTCAAAACAAGTTAACCTTTCCTACACCTCAGACATGTTTACATTCATTAGTACAAATAAGGATTCTTTTGTGGAATTTAAAGATTAAAATTAATCCCAAAACAGCTGTTCTCAGCTAAACTGACACTGTTTTTAATTCTATCTTATTTTGTCATTATAAATAATTGCAAAGTTACTCCCAGAGGTTTCCTTTCTTCTGTTTTCTTCCCAATCTGAATCAAATTTGGTCCAAAAAACAGCAACAAAGAGAAAAGACACAAGTTTTTGCCTGACTAAAAGAAACAAAACCTCTAAAAGCAATGCATTGCACAGTCATGATCATTCATACAGGAATTTAAACCAATTTGTGTGACATTTAATCAACTGTGAAAGTTTCCATAGTTTCATATTAGCCACAAAGCCCAAAGTCCAATGAATTCACTACTCATTAGCATTTACTTTAGAAGACTTGATTACGCTCTATCCATTTACTCTTTCAAGGCAGTAAGGCTTCTCTAATAAACACTAGTCAAGGAGGCTGAAGAGCCAGCCTTCCGTTGGTCAAACAAAGTTCAGATTTTTTAATTTGATAATTTACTCAAGTTGGTTTTAAAGCCGGCCTTACGTAATATTATGACGTCAGATATTGCTTAATAGTTTAGCTGTCACACTTGGACTAGCTTAAGAAGTTGTACAAAATTGTCTGAAAATCGCTATGATATTTTGACAAAGGAAAGCATTGTGTGTTTTAAAGGTACTAAAATTTGCAGTAGCGAAGTTTTTACAAAGTAAACTTAAAATGAAACATCCACAACAATTTTAATTTATTTCCACAAGTGTCACGATTCGATTCACATATTTTCCTTGATCGTCAAGATCTTTTATGAATCGCTGTTATTTAGACCAATGCCATTCCCGTTTGGTGCAGCTAGGAAATGAGTCATTAAAACACACACACGCTAAGAGCTCTTCACAATACCAATGCAATATTCGACCACACGAATCAAATTGAAGAAGGTTTAGCTCACTCGGCCATGTACAAAGTTTATGCATACGTTATTAGCAAGAAGCCATTAGAAGTAAAATTGAAGGCTAAGGAGAGGCGAAGAAAAGTAGAGTTAGAGGAAGTAAATTATGTTTAAGACAGAAATAAACTTGACTACAGACCTGAGATCTTTCCCTTGGAGAAACATCGTCTTCGTCAGATGAGTAACTATCGGAATAGCTAGCTGTAACAGAGGGCGAATATCGCACGAGTAAATAACATGAACCAAAAACAAGTTATTATTTCAAAAAAATATATCATCACCAAGGCAAGGGTTCAAGGCAGGGGATAACCTAGTAATCCAAAAACGCTGTCACAGAAAATCAAAGTACAGTTTTAACGATATTAAAATTTGAAAATAAAAGTGAAGGACGGACGATGAAACACATCCATGGAGAAGTACAAACAGAGAACACTGCGCCTATATCAACCCTGAAGAATGGGAAATTTCAAAGACCGAAATTTCGAGCGGCATCAAAGACTTGTCGAGAAAACTTAAAAAACTCATTTAACGGTGTAAATAGCATGCTTGCTTCACCTGAGCTCCCATAACTATCGGTCGATGACACCGAAATTGAGCGCCTTCGAAGGCGAGGGGGTCGTCTCGACATGCTTTCAGAAAAGCTTAATCCCTAGGGTATAAACGCAGCAAAAATCAGCAACACATGTCAAAACGCATTGAAAAATGTTAAACACGAGCGGCAAAAACCTCTAAAGCCTTGAGATGAGGCGGTCTTTGTGCTGCAGCCGCAGATTTTTGGACACGATGATCACCTTCCGAAGCCGCCATGATTATAAATATATTGTAGAGCAAATGGCCTACACAGCGGCGTGGGGTCGAGGCGACCAATCACGAAATAGGACAAAACGGGAAAAAAAATTCCCGTCTTGGTTCGTCACAATCGCAGATTCCTGGCGTTGTTCACTCTGGCACAGTAAAATTAAGATTTGGAGAGTTCACAAAAACTTCATTTAAGCACCTGGCGGCTAAAAGCGGAAGTTTGATTTTGTTTCTGAAGGATGAACCGGAAGATGTGTATACCAGCACACTGCCCATAGTCCGCTGTCTGCTACCAGAAATGACATCAGATCGACATACAGGAAACGCCACGGGTGTAAAGGGAAGCCTATTTCTCTGTAAAAGGAAGTTTCTTTTAACAACCTTTGGGAAACATGCGCTTAAGATAAGACGAGGGCTTTGCCTAGAACTGCCGGCATGTCAAACAGATCAAAACCCACGTAGCAAATCCACGTGGTTCGGCATGGCACCAAAGAAATTTCAGAGCATTCAGAAATCGATATCACCATTGCGAGCATTTTCAAAGGTTAAAGTTGTGTTGGCAAAAAGGGTACAAACAATCGCAAATGTAAAATAGTCCAAAATTTAAATGGCAATCTATCAAATGGGATTGAAAGTTGAAAAAACACTAGCACGTTTTCGTTTGAGAACGGTTGCACTTTTTGTTCGTTTAACCTAGATACCATATAGAGAAGGATAAAAAATCTCAATCTTTATTTTCGAAGACGGCGTCGAAACACTCACAAAAGCGCAGACTTTTGAGACTTTCTTAACCTACTATATACATAAAACCAGCGCTAGCTAGCTAAGAATTGGCAAGGTTAGGGTCCAATATTCACGATTTGCAACAAATCATGATAAATTGCTCCAAGGAGGTGGTTTTTTTGTTTATATGAAATTAAGAGAAATTTTAATGTTGAATGACGTCGTCGAATTAGTCCATTTACAATTTTGTCAGCTTCATGGTGAGGAAATATTTTGCGACATTCTTGGCACAAAAATAAAACTGGAACAAAAATGTATGTTATGAAAGTGTTTAAATATGAACGAAATAGATTCGGCGTGGTCAGCGATTTTCTTTTTTAACTTTTCTTTTTTGTCAGTCTTTCGTTTTGTCAGTTAGGGCAACAGTCTGCGTGATTTCGTCGCTGATTTCTTAAAAGCTTCTGTCCTAGGAAATGCTGATCAGGTCTTAGTGAGCCTCTCAATTCTTGCAACTAAAAGCTCAGTGACTTCTTGTGTCAAAAGAAAAACGATATTTAACAATTATTCCACGA